ATATTTATGTGATGGGATGAGTAGTGGGGGCTACTACATGTACCCACCCTACTCAGTTGATATTCCTATATTATATACACATCGTCCTTCATTTTTTTCCTTCTCCTTCTTTATGGAGTGTTTGGTAAACAAAAAAGAAAATATATTTTTAAAAAATTAATAATGTCATGTTACTTTTATTTATTTATTTAATGCATTAAAATTTCTTGATTCTCATATAATATTTAAAAACATTCTCATAAACATTTTATGATCAACTAAACAAATTTTCATGATTTCTAAGAATCATAATTTCAAAGATTTATGATTATGTAATTACAAAAATATTCTTTTGAAAAGTTTTTTTCCAAAACATTAAAATTAATATTAAAACTGAATGTGTGTGAAAGGAAGAGTGTGCAATAATTTTAAAATCATATGTTTTGGAAGAAAAATTACAATTTCAAAATTCTTTTCCATTTTGAAATCCTAAAAAAATGGAGGAAAAGATGCACATGAAAGAAGTATCTGTTTGGAAAAAAATAATTGAAAGTTTAATTTTAAATATTGGTTCGAATCCTGTCTTGTGTATGCAGCCGCGTTAAATCTTGGAGCCAGCTATCCCATCCTTTGAGGTGCCTCCAACGTAGCGAGGAGATTAGTCACTGCTATCGGCGGTGGATACTCCAGGGACGAAACAAAAAATATAATTGATTAATGACATATACATCCCTTCCTTCATTGTCATCCTCCTCTTCCTTCTTCTTCTTTAGTGTTGCGAAAAGTATTTTATACAAATATGTAAAAAAAAAAAATACATTTTTAGAAAATAATTTTTGTAATTATAAAATATTCTCTTAATTTTTTTTCAAAAACACTAAAATTAATATTACAAAAATCAGATGTGTAAAAGGACAGATAAACAAGAATCTTAGGGTCAGTTTAGCTTGAGAAAATATTTTCTAATTTTATTTTCTCTTTTCATTCTTTTAAAACAATTTTCATTTTCAAATTTCAAGAATTTAGAAAATATATTTGTTTTGATTTCTCATTTTCATTTTTCTGGAAATAAAAACATTGAAAATATGTTGAGTTTAACCATTTTTTATTCTCATTTTCTATTTTTATATTTGAAATGACTATATTAGGTCTAAAAAATATCCCAGATAAAAAACATTATAAATAAGAAACGTGTCCTATTTTTGTAAAAAAAAATTAATATATATATATATATATATATATTAATTATAATGTAATATTACTATCAATATAATTTATATGCAGTGGTAAGAAAACACAATATATTTAATTCTTTAAATTTTTTTATACTAATGTATTATTATTTTAATTACAAATAAATTTTAATTTGAATAATTTGTGTAGTAAAAGTTTAACGTTACATGCATCATGTTCCACTAACATGCCTTAAATAAAAAAATAAAATAAAATTGTTGTTAAAATTACAAATGATACCACCTCTTTTCAATTTCACTCCTCTATTTTCTCAGTTAAAAGTTCAAAACAATAATTTTTTATTTTCAGTTTTTGACTTATTTTTGAAAATGTTTTCAAAAAAATGTTTTCAACAATTTAACCAAACACATTTTCCATACAATTTTATGTTTTTGAAATAAAAATTATAATTAAAATATTTTAGTTTATTTTGAAATCCTAAAAATGGAGGAAGGAGATGCATATGAAAGAGGTGAGTGCTTGAAAAGAAATTGAATGTTAAAATAATAAGACAAGAAAAGGATGCATGTAAGAATGACAAATTCTTGAGAAAAAAATGTGAAAGTAGTTAGTGCTTTAAAAAAGTTACATGTTAAAGACATGAGGCACAAAGGGAGTGTGTGTGAAAAAAGTGAATACTTGGAAGAAAAAAAAATTGAACCTTGAAAATAAGGGAATCTGTAAAGTCAAGAAATTAAAATAAATATATTAATAGTGTGTTTGGATGGGGAATTTAAATGGAGTAATTCATTTATTTGAAGAATTTCAAATTCTTTGATGTGAAATACCTTGTTTGGATGGACAATTTATAAGAAATTTGAAATTCGAGCATTTGTGAAATTCCTTGAAATAGTAGAATTTCAAATTCTCCCAAAAAAGTAAGAATTTGAAATTCCTCATATATTTTTTTCTTATTTCACTTATATATTTTATCTTATCTCTTATTTCTTCATTTTTTTAATTACTGAATATTTAAAAATATTTTTAAAATTATTAAATATTATCTAATATTAATTTCAACATATAAATATATTTTTAAAATCAATTTTACCATGGCGGAATCAAATTATCATATCCAACCCAATAATTTAAAATTTGAGAAATTTGAATTAACTTATCCAAACAAAATATTTTAAGAATGATAGAAATTGAAATCAAAGTAATTCAAATACCAAGAATTTAAAATTCCTTGAAATTGTAAAATTCTTCATCCAAACACAACATAAGAGTATTTTGGATAGGGATGGTAATGGATTCTATGGGGACAGTAGTAAGATACTTGTACCTGTTAGATAAAAATCTATCATGTACCCATTTTAATTTTTTTTTTAAAAGTATTATAATCAACCTTAAACTTATATTTGATGTTAAGTATATTAAAATATTAAAGATAAGTAATTGATATTAATTTTTGAACTTGTAATTAATAATAATTTTTTTAAAATGTTAAAAATAATATATAAAAAATATAAGATAAAAATATAAATATTTAATTAATATTATTTAGTGGATA